GATTTTAGATAAATACGGTGTTTATTTAACACATCTGGAAAATATGACTGAAGATATAACATTTACCAATGCTGAAAGAGCTAAGTTTAAAGGATACCACAAAAAGTGGATTCATGCTAGAATGCCTCTTTATATCGCGTTGTTTATTGAGATTTTAGCACCAGCAAAGATGTTGTCAAAATGTTTTCAAAGTGATGAGATAGATGTGTTGGCTTCATCAGGGTTTGTTCAACAAGCTAAAAGCCATTTAAATCGTATTCAAAAAACAAAGTTTATTAATTTGCCAACAGTAAAACGTTTTCTCGCCAAAGTGACTGAAAAAGAAGGAAAGTTTTATTTCCAGGGTGTTGCACTTAACGACTTTGTAAATGCTAAACATTTAGTAAAAAAGTCTAAATCTATTCATATCGAGTTGGTAACAAATTCAATCATAGAGCGTTTGGAAACAAGCGATACTATTACTGATATGTATGGTACAAAAGTTTTAAATACAGAAGGTTGGCTTCAAAGTATTGAAAATGAAACATTCCTGGATGAAGGAATAGAAAATCTTTTTGACTTTTATAGAGCGCCGTTGCGACATGCTGGTTTTGCAGGAACTGTAAATGATGTTTTGGATGCTTGGCATAGCTTGGTAAACTACACTGTAAAATATTTAGCACCACATAATACCGGTTATCGTAAGTTATGGCATCAAATTTTTTCTAGCTCAATGAAAAATGAATGGGTTCCGGTTTTACTTATTGTCGAACTATTATTTACTTTGCCTGTTTCTAATGCGAAAGTTGAACGCCTTTTTTCACTAATGAATAGAGTAAAAACGGATACAAGAAACTCTCTGAAAGAGAAACGTCTAGAAAATTTAATTCGAGTAAGTTTCGATGAAAAAGATTCCGATTTATTTGATTTAAGTTCTGCTATCGAGTTATGGACCAATGATGCCGTGCGAAGGCCAAAACAATCAGTAAGAAAATGCTATTCCAAAAGAGCAAAAAAAGCAGGATTAAAAACATTAATCGACTTGGATTCATCATCTAACGAATCAAGTAATGAATAGCGCAAAACGAGATTACTTTTTCTCACCTTTTTTTAGTTTAAAAAAGTTTAATAATCAAATATTGGTTAAAAAGTTCATTACCTTTTTATTGTGTCATTTTTGTTAAAAAACGATCATTATATAAAAAACAATTGTTCGAGTCACAAAAAATATTTTTACGTCACTTAAAAGGCAACGCGTTGAAGTGAAAAAGTGAATTAAGAGCTAAGTTTAAAAGTAAAAACTATAAACGATAACGCGGACGTACGCTGTTGTATTCAAAAACCAATAGCGTTCAGCTAGTGTTCTAAAAATAGATTTTTTTAGTACTAAAAGGCATTAAGGTAAAGATATTTTAGAAAATTGCACAAAATCAATAGAATTTTCTAAAAACGCAATTTATTGAAGGTTGATAGCGGTAAAACAAACAATTTGACGTCACCTAAACTGTACGCTATTAAAGAAAAAGTTAAGAAAAATTTGATCGTCTGGATAATTTTTTGATCGTCTACTTTATTACTTTTATTATTTCTGCCGATCAGTGTGGATCGGCAACCTTCAAATAATTATTTCGAGCGCTGATATATATATATATATATATATATATATATATATATATATATATATATATATATATATATATATATATATATATATATATATATAGTATATATATATATATATATATATATATATATATATATATATATATATATATATATATATATATATATATATATATATATATATATATATATATATATATATATATATATATATATATATATATATATATATATATATATATATATATATATATATAATATATATATATATATATATATATATATATATATATATATATATATATATATTATATATATATATATATATAATATATATATATATATAATATATATATATATATATATATATATATATATATATATATATATATATATATATATATATTGGACATCAGACATTGTCCAATTAAAACCTCAGATTGTCTGCTCAATTTACAAAGTAATTAGACATTTTGATCAATGGGAGAATTCTTCAAAATAAAGTTATGACAGGAAAAGTGTGCGATCAAACGCCTTTGCTGATCACACAAATGTTTTTTGGTTTACAAATGACCACGACTATTCAGATGTTTTGATGATTTAAACACTAGAAATGCGCTGAAAAATATAAGTGATCTTAAACTTAAACTTGGAAAAAAATTTTAAAAACTAAAGAATAAGCAAAACAATTTCTTACGAAAAAGGAAATAAATTAGCTTAAAATAAAACTAAAAAATCTCAAAATAGAAATTACTTTTTAGCCACCCCTACTTCCAAGGGCTCATATATATATACAGACACCATACACAGATATATATATATATATATATATATATATATATATATATATATATATATATATATATGTATATATATATATATATATATATATATATATATATATATATATATATATATATATATATATATATATATATATATATATATATATATATATGTATATATATATATATATATTTGGTGTGAAATGGCACCAAAATATAATTAAAAAAACATCAAAAATCAAGTGCAAAAATTAAAACAAACAATAGGCAAAAGAAAAAAAAAACATAATCATAATTTCTAAACTAAATTCATAAGTACCGTTTCTTTAAGAAAACATAAATAAATACTTTAAATAAAGGAAAGGCTATACTTGCTTATTTCACGGGGAACCTTTTTTAAAAAATGTCTTTTTTTAATAAATGCTGATAAAATTATGTTTAAATGTTTAAAAGTTTCCCCATTCCAATAGATGCCTTATCGTTTTTTTAATCTATATGGAAATTTTCAAACAAATTTGATGACTTAGGAAATTTTACCTTCAAAAACTACTTTTGAAAAAACGTGTTTGCGGCAAGTTTTTTTTATCAATAGTGGTCTTAAGATATGAATAATATATGAAAGAAGCCATTTTAATTTCAGTACTTTATATATGAATGAAAAGAAGTTGAGTCAAATTGATGCAAAAAATCAAATTTTGATTTTTTGCATCAATTGAAATTTCAAAAATAAAAAAGTTTTTCATTCAAATTTCAAAAAAGGGTAAAGTTTATAAAAATACCTTTATAAAAAGTTTATAAAAATACGTTTATAAATAAAAATACGTAATATAAAATATAAAATAATAAAATAAAATACTAAAAATAAAAATAATAAAATAAAAATAAAATAAAATAAAAATAATAAAATAAAATACGTTTATAAAAGTTTATAAAAATACGAGTTTTTTGTCAAACTCAAATCTTTTTCATTTTGTTATAAAATCGCTAACCCAGCATTAAATACTACTGATACTTAAAGTTGGATCGGTAAAAGTAACAATTATTTACACATTACCCACTCAGGTTTAAAACTGATAATGTTGTTAAAACTGATCTATTTGAGTTAGTAAGGTATCTGGGCTTTTTTTCTGAATGAAATTTGACTGGCAAAAAGAAATTTTTTTTTTTAAATGAGAAAATAGATTTCAAAAATTGGCACATAATTTCTTCAACTTGATGCAGTAAGTATAACAAAGATTTTGACATTAATAAGATCAAATAAAACATTACAATAAAAAAAAAGTCATGCAAAATTAAAGTTAAACTGTTTTAGTATTTTAAAAATAACTATGTTGATACAGATTTGGAAAAAAAACACAGCAAAACATGGTCATATCATGCAACTCTTAAAAAATCTTCAAAAAGCATAACAGAAATTTTTTTTGACAGAAAAAAATGTTTTTATGTAAAAGCCAGTATTAAAAATGCTTTTTTAAAAAACAGCCTAATATCTGTGATTGATAAATTTATGAAATGAGAATGCAACTGCACATTATCTCTTTCTTAGATGGCTATTCCAAAAACATTCATAGTAATAGAAGGTAGAACAAGAGATGATTGTTTTAGCAACATTTATAGTAATATTTTGTAAGGTGGAAGTAGAGATTATTGCTTCATCAGAATTAATAATAATATTTAGAAAGTGGAACAAGAGATGATTGCTCTAGCAGCATTCATAGCAGTATTCTAAAAGATGGAAAAAGAGCTCTTTTAAATTCATACCAATATTTACATTTGTCTAAAACCAGAACACTGTCAGAAGAGTTATTAAAATGAACAATTACAAAAACTTTTTTTTTTTAATATATGAAATACATATAATTCTATAATTTATAATATATATATAATATATATAATTTGTTAATTTTATTTATTTGATTCGTTTTTTCTGTTTAATTATTACTTTTATTTATTTTCAATATTATGAAGTTTACTTATTATTAAAACTTATTACTTCAAGTTTTTTTTTTATTATATAGACTTTTACACAAAACAAAAAAAAAAGTTTAAGTAATTTTTTGTTTTATTAATTTTTATTGATGTTTAAAATTCAAAGTTGTCAATTCTTTAAATTTTTTTTTAATCAAATAGGCTTTCTACTGTTTAAATTTTTTTAATTAAAAAATTGTTTAAATTGTTAATTTATTTGATAACTTATGTGTATTTATTATATATTTTAAAATGAATTTTCTATTTGCAAAAATTAATTCAAAGAAGGTTAACTTGTTTAAACAATTTTCACAACTTAAGATATTATAAACTATCATAAAAAAAAAGATTTTCTTTTTTTACTTTTTTATTAAATGTTCATTCTAATTTAGATGTTTCTTCTTTCGCTTTAAAATATTTAATTTTAAATCATTTTTGTTGTGTTTTATTACTTTCAGCTAACTAAATACAAAATTAGTAGTTTACTTTTAATTTTTATTTATTATCAAAATTACTAGATTTCTTATTATTATACAAAGTTAGTCGATTACTACAACAAAAGTATTTTTTCTAATCCTTAAGTACAAATATTTTAATTATTGCATCTTGATGATTGTTTGAACATTTAATCATTTTGTTTCTTAGGTAATTTGTCAGCTGTAAAAGAACTCATAAGTCAAGTAAATGTAGATGTTACTGAAGAGGTCAGTGTATTTCATTTACATTTACATTTTCCAGATTTTACGTTTCATTTACGTTTTCATTTAGGTTTTATATTTTACGTTTCATTTTCCACATTTTACGTTTACATATATATATATATATATATATATATATATATATATATATATATATATATATATATATATATATATATATATATATATATATATATATATATATATATACACACTTACTAAAGTGTGTTTTGATAAGCATTTGCTCACTTTTTCTGCTTACCTTAAGCTATACCGTTTTTTTCGAAAAAGAAGAAAAAACGAAGAATGATGAATAAAACGATTGCTTCCCCATCCCAAACCCTCAGTCGTTGTAGCAGCACTCCACTGCGAGTCAGGCTATTTGTCAGTTGATGTATGTAGTACGCAATACTATTTGTATATATATATGTATATATATGTATATATATATATATATATATATATATATATATATATATATATATATATATATGTATATATATATATACATATATATATATATATATATATATATATATATATATATATATATATATATATATATATATATATATATATATATATATTTATATATATATATATATATATATATATATATATATATGTATGTATATATGTATATATATTACAACGCAATACTATTTGTATATATGTATATATATTAGTACGCAATACTATTTGTATATATATATATATATATATATATATATATATATATATATATATATATATATATATATATATATATATATCAAGGGCTATTCTAGATATATATTCTAGTTTTGACAGCGCTAACTGTTTTTGGGCACCCCCTAAATAAAAAATATTTTTTAAAAGTTTTTTGCAACAAATACTGTTTTTTTTGCCAAAAAATGCTAATTTTGACAATATTTCCAGTAAATTTCTCTAGGACAGGGCAGGGGGGCGGCCCCAAATTTTTTTCCTAGAATAGCCTATGAAAAAAAAAAAAACAGTAAAAGATTTAGGTATATTATTTTTTTGACAAAATTTTTTTTTTTTTAATTTTTAATTTTTTAAAATTTATTTTGTTTAGATTTTCTATTTTGTATAGTATTTGTTTTCTTTTTTCGAGTATTGCTGTTTTATTCTGTTGTTTTTATAGCTTTTTTTTGCTGTAAATTCTAAAAATGCTTACTATATAAAAACTTGTCAGTAATCTTAAATTACTTTAAACATGGATGGACAGAACGTGCGACCGCTTGCACTTTCCTAGAAGGCTTGTAATGTGTATATTGAAAGTCCTTAAGAGGCATCTATACCATTCTTTAATAAAAAAAAAGATACCTGGGAAAGCTTTTTTCTGATTGAAATTTGACTGGCAGTAAGAAAAAAGATTTTTGAAGATGAGAAAATAGATTTCAAAAAATAGCACAGAATTTCTTCAGTATAAACTTGATGCAGTAAGTATATCAAAGAATTTGATATTAATAAGATCAAATAACAAATTACAATAAAAAAAAAAGTCATGCAAAATTAAAGTTAAACTGTTTTAATATTTAAAAAATATCTTTTAAAAAATATATGTTGATACCCATTTCTAAAAAATAACATAGTAAAGCATTTTCATATCATGCAAATCTTGAAAAATCTTCAAAAAGCATGGCAGAAAATTCGGTAGAAAAAAATATTTTGTTAAAATTGTTTTGTTAAAGAATAGTGCTTTTTTAAAATTTATAGGCCTAAAATCTACGATTGATAAATTTATGAAACGAGAATGCAACTGCACATTATCTCTTTCTTAAATGGTGCTCCAAAAACAATTATAGTAATACTTTAGAAGGTAGAACAAGAAATGGTTGTACTAGCAACATATATAGTAATATTTTGGAAGGTGAAACTAGAGATAATTGCTCCATCTAAATTAATAATAATATTTAGAAAGTGGAACAAGAGATGATTGCTCCAGCAGCATTAAAGCAATATTTTAAAAAATGGAATAAGAGCAGTAGAAAGTAAAATTAAAAAATAATTTGGGTGCAAAAAATGCTTTAATAAAGTTAGTAATGCCTATACTGTAAACTGCAAGATTAGTATAGGCAAGTGTTCAATTAGCATCACTGCTATAGTTGTTTTAAACAAAATTACACTACATCAAAGTCACGATGTTTAAAAAATATACTGCATAATAGTTATACAGATACTGTCTTAATTTGAATGAACAGCATCACAGTTTCATCAAAATTTAAAGCATTTTACTTGATACAAACTTATACTAGTTTGAACATATACAAATTTGTACTTCAATCAGATAGTCCAAAGTTTAAATAAATTAGAAAACTATTTAAGAACAAGATATTTTGTGTTTAAAACAATATTTTCTAGATTTTTTTTACAAAAATTTACATTTTATAACAGGATGGAATGACAGCTCTTATGTATGCAAGTTATAAAGGGAATGAAGAAATGATAGAGTACTTACTGTTACATGGTGCAAATGTAAATAGTGATGCGCATAAGGATTTGGTAAGTATTAAAATGTCTGAAAAAACTTTCTAACTGTGTATTTTAAAAGTAATAATTTTCTCTATACATATTTTTAGTACACTCCTCTTATGTTTGCAACACTGTCTGGTAAGTAATAGATTTTGTTACTATATATATATATATATATATATATATATATATATATATATATATATATATATATATATATATATATATATATATATATATATATATATATATATATATAATATATATATATATATATATATATATATATATATATATATATATATATATATATATGTATATATATATATATATATGTATATATATATATATATATATATATATATATATATATATATATATATATATATATATATATATATATATATGTATATATATATATACATATATATATGTATATATATATATATATATATATATATATATGTATATATATATATAGATACATATATATGTGTATGCAGGCTTCGGCAGGAGTAAATGAGTGCACAAGCTATAAATAACCTGTCTAAACCCGTCTTTGTGGGCTACGCAGGCTACCTGTCTAGAATGTACCGGTTTTTTTGAAAAATTAAAGTTTTACGCCTTGTTAAAATTTTCTTTTATTTTGAAAGTTTATTTTATTAATCCTTCATGCCAGGTATAGTAAAAATTTTGATTGTAATAATAAATGTTTTTTTAGCGATAAAAAGATAGAAAAACAACTTGCTAACATTTTTTTTTTTTAATAATTTTTTAAATATAACTTTTATTTAATAATTTATTAATTAATTAAATAATAAATAAAAAACAACATTTAAAAGTTAAAATATAATCAATCTTTCTAATAAAACAACAATATATAAAAAAAAACTGTTATACCACAAATTACAGTGGTGTGCTGGCCCCAGAGGCTATGTGGGAATCCCGCTTGGGCCTATTACTATTAATCCTAGAAGGGCCTTTTTTTTGAATTTTATACCCTTTACTGCATTCTGAAATGATTCACAAATGATATTTATTTGCTTTACTTTTTATTCCACAAGTTAAATTCTTTAACAAATCTCTGATTCGAACTGTTGGACTTCAAGCGCATATATATTAGTATTTTGCATAATAAAATGCAACCGTTTGAAACTTTTGCCTCAAAACAAAGTCGATATTGGAAACAATAATTGATCGTTATGTCACTTAAATCACTTATTATATTAGTGGTTATATAGATAAAATTATTTAAGTTAGCCAATGATTATTATGAAAAATAATTGTGTTCAATTTTAAAATATGGAAAAATATTCATTTTTGTTAAATTAGAACGATTAATTGTTTTTTCATAAACAAAAATTGTAACGTTTTTAAATATAAATAATTTATGTGAGTTTTTATAAAATTGCTTTTATTGTATGTTCTACAGATATTTAAAAAGTAATTAAATATTTTTTTTATTCGAATAAATAAAGCATTTTATTTCTATTTGAAAGTATTCCGGATTCATTTCAGGGACCGCAAATACATTGAAACTAATATTTAAACATTATAAACTTTAATAACTGCTTTTTTTTTCAAAGAACATAGTTGTAAAATCCGTGTTTTTTGTAATTATAGCTTCTTTTTTTTTTAAGATTTTACATAGAATAGAAAATCTTAAAAATTGTATACATTCATATATATATATATATATATATATATATATATATATATATATATATATATATATATATATATATATATATATATATATATATATATATATTTAGTATAATAATATAAATATCCTTTTTAAATTTTAACATTAATGTTTTTTTAAACAATAACATAGAAATCCTATTTGGTTACCATAAAAAAACAGTAAAATTTGTTTATTTTTAGGAATGAAAACATAAAATGTGCTTACCGCAGCACAATAAAACATGCTGCAGCAAAGTGCCATTTTTAATTCTAAGGAAATCCAATTATAACTCGTTGCATTAGTATGTTGGTTAAACTGGATAAAGTCAGTTTTTTATTGATATATATATATATATATATATATATTATATATATATATATATATATATATATATATATTTAAATATATATACAAATGTGGGCCTTCAAATCAAGCATATTTGGTGAAATCCGAAATATATGGTCATTTTTGAAAAAATCCTGCATGTGCTTTTTGGAGCCAGCACGCCTCCCTGATCAAAGAGTTGTTTTATAAAAATGAATGATCTTAATTATTTTATTATGTTCATTCATTTCTCTTCTTCTTTGTGAATGAAAATGTCATTGTATATAAAAAATTCTATAATCTACAATTCTACGATTATTAACAAGTAGGAGAGTGACAAATCATTTAAAAAGACTTTGGTAGTTAAACTTTGAATACTTAGATACTTGTAAAATTGAGATAATAGTTTTTCGAAGTTTTTATTTTTCACTTGAGTTATTAGTGTGAGCTTACTTAAGGAGTTTTTGTTATTATGTTTTGTTTTGGTTTTGTTTCTCGATTTTTATTCAGACTATATTCTTTTTTTCCCCAGTTTTATCAGTTGTAGAATCGGATTTTTGTTGAGTTTATTCCAGATATAATCAAACCAAAAGCAACTCAAAAAATGGCAGAAAAACAACCTTTTCTACAATCACGTTTCTTTATTCAACCATCTTGACATTTGGATAAAAATTTTTGCAATGAACATAGCAATTTGCAAGATGCATAGCAATTTGCAAGATTTGAGTATTAATATATTGTCTTTCTAAAATAATGGAATAAAATATAACATTTTTTATTGTGCTTCCTTAGTTAATTCATTTTTCTTGTGCTTTGTAAATTAAATTAAATAATTTTAACTGTGATATCGTGATATAGCCATAAAGATATAGTGACATTTATATTAAAATCTTTTTTTAAAAAAACCTTGAACTAACTGGGTTCCTACAGAGCCTGTTTTCCTGTTTTTTTCCTGTTTTTTTCATTTTGGTCTGTTTTCCTGTTTTTTTTCTGTTCTTAAGGCAATAGCCTGTTTTTTTTAAAGTCTGACAATGTTTATATATAAAATGATATGTTTTATAAGTTTAGGAGGTAATGAAGTTTAAAATTTTTTAAACAAAATTTACTAATTTTGTTTTAGGTTTAATATCAGCTATTACTTAAGAAAGTTTTAACAGCTTTTTTTTTTTTTTTTCATACATTACAAACAAAAAAACAATATGACACTTATGCCATGTACCATTCTAATCATTTTCAGCAAATAATAACATCGTACTTGAGACATTGTTTGTAGAAAGTGTACTGCAGAAAACCTTCTTGGCCAATTTAAAAATTTCCAATTCTTTTTTTGAAGGTTTGAAATCGTTGATTTCTGAGGTTATTGATTTAGACAAATTAGCAATTGATTTGCACAGTTTTTTTTAATATTCTTCAAAATCCTTTTTTGAAATTTGATATCATATATCGTATATGCATATATATATATATATATTATATATATATATATATATATATATATATATATATATATATATATATATATATATATATATATATTATACTTGTTCATTTATCTTTTTTTTTTAAATATATTTTAAATTGTTTCACAAAATAGCCTGTTTTTCTAAGAAAAATCCTGTTTTTTAGGCCTCAACTGTTTTTTTTTAAAAATGTGCTGTTTTTTATCAATGACTACAAAGAGTTCTATTCTAATACTAAGATTTCTATTCTTTTACAATTGTTTTTCAATTGTTTAAAGTTTTTATAGTTCTAAACTATAGATAAAAAATTGAGAACTGATAATCACCTGTGTAACATAAAAATATATAAATTTCGTTAATGTAACAAATTCATTATTAAACCCATGAATTTTTGCGCTCACAAAGCGCAAAAATTCATGGGTGTAAGAGGTAAAAAAATGTTGGTGCCATAATAACCAATTAGAATTAAGTAGTGGATAAATGGTGATCCCCCTCCTCAGGAATGCACTGCGATCACCGATGACATTTCGGAGAGCTCGAAACCTGCACTAACGCCACTCGTCAGGGGCATGTCCTTGCAACAGATCTCACCGCCTGCACTCTACATTATGCTAGTCAATATTGCAATATAATAGCACTACACTACAAAAGCCAAAAAATTCAATCCCTATCTCAGTTTTTGAAAACAGCTCCAACATTCTTAGAGATCTTGTGAGGGTGGTGAAGGATGCGCGTGGTGTAACCATAAACAGATATTTAAACACATATCAATATAAGGTACCCTTTCATTAGAAGAAACAAACTTGTACACATGTACGTATGCGCGTGTATAAATAAACAATTATAATGTGTAGAAATAACAGAAAGCGAATAGAAAATAGTAATTAATAATTAATAGTAACTTACCGTTTCTTTTATGGTTGAAATATGTATTATAAATATAATACATATTTTCATATTATAAATAATATTATAAATAAGTAAATACCACTCATAAGCATTGATACTAAGTTAAGATGTTTTGTAGTTAGTACGAAAGTAGTTAAATGAAAGTATGATAAAAAATGTGATAACTCCAATAGTTAATGTTCTCATATAAATCTTGCCTGATAAGTAGAGACAATAGCTATCACACAAAACAGACTCAGAGTAATTAAACAACAATTAGCCAGAGATAAAAAAATATACAAACATTAAGTCAGTAGGCAGAGAATAATGAGGAAATAAAGAGATGAGAAATAAATGCGATTTTTTACTAATAGCTTATAACCACTAAAAAATGTAACGTTAAAAAACAATATTGTTGACAAAACGACCAAAGGATTGTTAGTAAAGACTGCATAGTGCAAACCACAACAAACTAGCTTAGCGACGTCAGATCGAGAAAATTAGATAGAAAAAAAAAACCTAACGAAATTGTGATAAGTCTAAACTTATCTAGTGGAATTGTTCAGTATATTCCAACCAAGAATACATTTGTTATAAAAAATACGCTAATACGTAAGTTTGTGTAAAATTTTCGCGCTGTTATGCTTCTCATAACTATACGGCCTCATTCACACATTATAACACAAATCTGAATAAATATACAAGGATAAGGTAAAATAAGATTATGAACAAAAGTATATAATAAAGAACAAATATTTGATATACTGATTTTAGAGGCTGTTTATGTCTACAGGTGTGATGGTGTAGTGCATTAGTATGTACCGTTTGGTTGTCTAGTATTGTCTCGTTATGTTTTCGTTCAATTTTGAACTCGGGTGAATAGAAAGCTAAACACACTCACTCCTTGCGGTTATGGGCTAGCACATCAGAGCCAGACAATAAAGATAACGAAAGTGGAGCTTCCGACTGAAGCTTGTCATTGTGGTGTACATTGGAAAAAGTTGGGGCTCACCAGTCACAAAGAATTAGTCAAATTAGTGATTTTCTGACTCATTGATATTTATGCTTTTTGTGCTTTTTCAGTACAAATTTTGGAAGCATTTTTAGAAACATTTCAAACAGAATCTCCAATGATTCACAAGCTTTATCCTGTAATGTGCTAACCAATAAACTCTATATTTCAAAAGTTTGTTCTTCCCAAAAAAGTTAAAAAATGACAATGGAGAGTTTGATTCACAGACTGATTTTTAATGATTGATTTCTACAAAATTGAAAACAATAATAAATGAAGTTTAGTTGAACTTGGAGAGAAAGTGAAATTGTTGTTATGTGAAGCTGCTCTGCCTATTTTAGTAAAAGAAAAATTTAAGACATCGGAATTAAGAAAAATGAGGTTGACTGGCCTTGAGCTGTTATTGCTGACCTTGAGCTTTTAGAGGTTGGCATCAGGTCATCAAAAATAATTGACACAAAGAGGTCATCATAAAATGTAGAAACAATCTCAGCGATTTTAGGGTGGCATTGCCAAATCATATTATTCATTAAGATGTAAAAAATTCAACATGCTCTTAAGAAATAAAAACTTTATATGCTATTTATAAAATTGAAAGCATTCAAAAGCATGCAAATTATTATAAAGGAGCATGCAAAAGCATGCAACATTAAGAATATATATATAATATATCAGACCTCGTTAAGAAATGTTATGCAGCTCTATTTTATGTACTAAATCGCAATTCGGGAAACTTTTATATTTTGAAATATTTAAATGATTTTTTAATATTGTTTACATGACATTTATTTAGAAAAGTTAAATCATAAAAAAAAGCATTTAACTGCAACTGTGCATTTTTTTGTTTAAGAAACTGATTATTTTGTATTTTTTCTAATTAAAAGGCTTAAAATCAAATATGATTTAAAAATTTGATTTAGTTTTGAAGAAATATAAAATATTTAGTAAAACATAGAATGTAAAATTGTCATTTTTCTGTTTCAAGCAATTTTATGTTAGTTGTGTTGAGTATTTTTTTATTATCATTTTTTTCCAACAAAATAAGGCTAAGATAATTCATATAATAATTTGTAATAATCATTTGCATCAATCATTTGTTAATCAAGTTAACTCACATAATCATTTATTTTATTCTGCTAATTAATTCTGCTACTGTGACACCTTTGTGATTTGTGATTTTTTTAAAAGAAAATATAAGAATACTTCTTTTTAATTAGATTTATTATACTAATTATTATTACTAACACAATTAATAATTATTTTGATATATTTTTTTTGTTTGTTGAAATTTTTTGTTCAAAGTTAATTATTGGCTCATTTCTTCTCATTTCTTGACTTTATAAAATTTAATTAGGAGTTTTAATTTGCAATTTGACTGTCTGAAATTTTTAAAAAATTCTATTTAAAATATTAAAAAGATTTATTTGCAAGCTTAAAAGATGCCATACTCTCAGTTTCAATTTAAAAACACTTTTAATTGTAAAAAAACTTTAACACAAGTGTAAAAAAAGGGTACAAAAATTTAAGGAAATAAAAGTTCATTGTTTAATCTTCTGTTGTTTGTTTTGGATTTTCCTTGAATAAGTTGAGGTTTGAATTAGCGAGAAGCTGTTCTACCCAGTTTTAGAACAGTGCACAGGTTTTAAAGTAAATCTAAAATTAAACACTTTTTTTCTGACAGGTTCAGCAGACTCTGTACGTCTCCTTCTTGAAGCTGGTGCAAAATCTGATACCATCAATAAAATCAATCGCACTGCATCTCAACTTGGTGCATTTACAGGTACTTTGTTAGTTATTAATAATCAATAAAATAACAGTTTATATTTATTGGATTTAAAACAATTTTTTTTAAGTAATTATAAATAAGGTTTTTAAGTAATCTAAAAATTGTAAGTTTCCTGTCATGTTACCATAATATTTAATGCATTTTGTTATTGCTAATGTTGTTATAAAAATATTTTGTAATAATATAGAGGTTATTAATAATATTTGGTTTAATAACATTTAATTTTGAAGTGATTTAGTAGTATTACAATTCTTTGACTGAATCAGTTTTATATTGCTGATAACTTTTTTATTTAAAGGAAATTTTTACCTCTATTAATTCCATTTTTAATTTCCTCTATTATTTTGATTCTTTACTCTCAGCGAGCAATTTCAGAAAAAAAAAAAAAAAATGTGTTCGAAAATAGAAGATTATTCCTAAATTTGAGAGAATAAAGTGCGATGTTTTGCAAGAAAAAAGTTATTTTGCATGATTGAGTTGCTCAAGAACTGTTGCATAAGAAATTATAAAAAGAATGCCAGTTAATCTAGTTAAAAGAATTATTTTGAACATTTTTCCAATCACCCTTGGTTAAACCGATATATTGTTCATCATAATTGTTTCTGAGCATTTATAAACAGCATTTATAATTTATATATATTTTAATATTATTTTTATGTTCACTGGATCTCTGCAGTTTTTTTGTTTCTTGATCATCATTTAAAAAGAAGTTTTTTTTATTTAAAATAGTTTTGATTTAATTTATTATTTGATTGAAAATTTAGTTTAGTATGTCACAGCTCTCTTGCAGTAACCCTAACCCTAGGCCTGACCTTGATTCTGACCCTAACCGAACCCGCAGTTGATGTAGCAGCACTCCGTTGCGAGTGAGGCTATTTGATAGTCGATGTGTGTACTTTTTTCTTTATATAAAAGTTGTTTACGGGGACATTTTTTTAACAAAAAAACAATGCTTTTGTTAAAACACAGGGATAAAAAATTTACGGGTACACAAAATTGTCCCCAGCCTAATGTCTCCGTAAGTATTTTTTTTTTTGTAAAATTTGTCCCTGTAAGTGATACTATAGGTGTATACACATATATTATATATATATATATATATATATATATATATATATATATATATATATATATATATATATATATATATATATATATATATATATATATATATGTATGTATATGTATATATAAATATATATATATATATATTAGGGTGATTCAGAATGAGAGAATTTTTAAAGCAAAAATACGTAACTCATTAAATTTGGTACAAATATATAGAAAGTAGGTTTTAAAGCATAACAGGCATTTTCTGACCACTTTAGACCCTCCCTCAAGGCTAGTTTTTCTGAAAAAAATATCAATTTTTTGTCAAAAGCTGCTGATTTCAGTGACGTTGAGGGAGGGTCTAATATAAACAATTTGGCTTAATTTAAAAAAAAAAAGACACTACATATATTTTCCATTTACAATCAATGTTTTTGTTTTATTACCGAGCATTTATTATTCAAATTATCCATAAATTCGCAAAATTTATGACTTGTGGTATTAAGAAAGAATTTTGAGTATATAAAGAGATTTTTTCTAATATAATAAAAATATTTTTTGCTTAAAAATATTGCACATTGCTTGCTACTTTAATTAGTTACGTATTTGAAGGTAAGTTTCCTTGACATTCTTCCATCCCCCTCTGCCTGCCATTTTAAAATAAAATGAATTACAAACCATTACACTTCATATTTTTTTACTGAAGTTTCATATGAATTTATTTTGAAAAAAAATACAATTAATATGAAGCCTCTACATTGATTTAAAATTTGAAAGTAACATTTTTGATTTTGAATTTTAAAATTCAAAATAAAAACTTAAATAACTCTGTTACTTAAAATGTTCAGTTACTTACTAAACAAGTATTGATATGAGTTATCAGAAACACAAGGTTTTGCGCAATAACAGTTTGAGATCTTCTAAAAAGATTTTTCATATTATCGATAAAGCGAAGCCTGCCATTTCAGGTATGTGTTGCATAGAAAGAAAAAAAAAAGTACAGTTATCGATTCGGTTTTATGATATTTTGTATTTACCTAAAAAGAAGTCATGGTCACTAAAACACATTTTTCATCTCAATATCGACACCAATCCATCACACTATTATACTCTGTAAGATGAATAATGCGCGCCTATTTATACTATTTATATAGTATTGGTAATGCTATTTTAATAAAAACCTATATGGTTTAGGAACGCAACTTCCAACAGATATGGATATCTTGCAACACTTTAAATATTGACAATCAATTTTGCCAAATGGAATTACAAAAAAGTTAGATATTCTATATTGTCCTCCAAAGTCAAACTTAAAGGTTGATAGGTGTCAACTAGTTGAATGTGCATCTATCATGGCGAAAATAAAACATTCATGGATTAAAGCAGGGTTTCTAGTTATTAGTAATGTAAATGTTCGAAAAAGTTTAAAAAATCTTGAGCAAAAGTATTCTAATTTATTAAATAATATCAGAAAAATCTCAAAACAAGATATTAAAAATCAAATAGGATTTGAAAATTTTGTTAAATCTATTTTTAGGATAGGAATTATAGAACTAAAAGATTTTATTCAATGTGACAAGCTAAGATCCAATGAATTTAAAATCGTGGATTTACATTTCTTTGAAGATCAAGAAGGTCCAAGATTATATCATTTGGATCCTCTAGATACTAAATATACTAAGAAAGAAAGTAATTTGATTATGTTTTGGTTGTGAGAATTTGCATAGTGTAAGTTTTATTTCTTTAAATGTTTAGCATCAGATCTAAATTAAATGATGCTCTCAATGGTAGATTTCTCAAGGTAGATTTCTCAAGGTAGATTTCTCAAGGTAGATTTCTCAAGGTAGATTTCTCAAGGTAGATTTCTCAAGGTAGATTTCTCAAGGTAGAGCATCCACTATAGTATCACTCCATATAGTAAAGTCATCACTCCATATAGTAGAGTAACTATTGAGTTACTTTACTATATGGAGTGATGCATTAGTATATAAAATATTGATTTAACTAACTTTATTTTGTTTTTTGACTTACACTATGTTGATTCTCATCCACATATTTAGTTTTTAAATAATATACTCTTTATAGTTAGATAAATTTATTAAATATGCTCTAACTTTGTGTTTTTCTTAATCTAACAACTTATAACTGATACATTTATTTTTATAAGGTAAAATCATTAAATATAAAGAAGAGCAAAAATGCAATGAAAAACGAATCACCAAGTAAAATCTTAAAATTTTACGAAGAAAAACTAAGTTCAGATAACTTTTCTGTTTCTGACTTTGAGCCAGACAAATGGATAAAAAGAAAGAATAAACCAAGCAGTACAAAAATTCGGGCCAATATTACTAAACATATTTATTCAGGAAATGTTGCTTTAATGGCAACTGTTAATAACATTTCTCCTATGGTTCTGCAGAGAATTACGACAGCGGATGTTCAAGCAGAAGTAGACATGAACGCCATCAAATCAAGTCTTTCAACTGCAGCTAGAATAATGAAAATAGAAAATAAAGAAATTTCAAATATTGCTAAAGAAGATATTAAAACAAAAGTATGTTTATCTACACTCCCATGAATAATTCATTTTGATGGAAAAACTATGTTTGAGACAATTAAAGGAAATAAACTAAAATGCGAGCGACAAACAAGTTTTTTTAATTTATTTTTGCAGTAAATGGGTTTACAGAAGAGAGAATACGCGATTGGTTGTCATTTCTACTATCTTTCTGGCATACTCAATCATATAACAACCAGTTTTTAGCCAATTCAAAAACTTTTATTATAATTAATGATTATGCAGAAAGAAATGTAGGCATGATGCAGGAGTTTATCTATAGATACATTAGTGAAAAATAAAAATAAATGAGACTAGTAACCATTCAAATTTTTATGCCAAAATCAATTTTTAAGTTTACTCATGCCAATTATGATAAAAACAAGGTTTTCTATTTAACTTACAAAAAAGCCTACAAAATAAAAAAAAAGTTTTCTAATCACTTTTGATATTCTTGAAATTATTCATGTATTTTAAACCTAATTCCATATTTCTTTTTGTCATCTTGCTGGAACTTTTTTCAGGTTTTTTCATGGCATAGCAAACATTGTCAAGACAATGTTTGCTATGCCATATGGAATTAGGTTTAAAATACATGAATAATTTCAAGAAATTCAAGTGATTAGAAAACTTTTTTTTTATTTTGTAGGCTTTTTTGTAAGTTAAATAGAAAACCTTGTTTTTATCATAATTGGCATGAGTAAACTTAAAAATTGATTTTGGCATAAAAACTTGAATCAATTTTAAAAAAATGAGGAGGTAAAAAAATGAGGAGGGACCCAGGGGTAGATAAGGGTGAGGGGAAAGGTAAGGCAAATACATTACTAAATGAACTAACAAGCAATTTACAATATTTTTATTACACATGGCCATCGACACCAGAGGAGGATGGGGAAAAGGGGAGTTTCCTCCCCCCCCCCCTTTCTTTTATTTTTATTTTTCAAGGACTTTTTTTTTTAATATATAAAATTGAAAAATGGCCCCCCTTCAATTTAAAGGCTGGTTCAATGGTTCTGTTATATTAGAAAAAATGTATTTTTATACTCTAAATGCTTTCTTAGTATCACAACAAATTCAACATATTTGTGAATTTATAGATAATTTGATTAAAAATTGCTCAGTAATAAAAACAAAACAAAAATATGCATGATTTAAAATGCAAAATATATGTAGTGTATGTCCTTTTTTATTAATTCAGCCAAATTGGTTTATATTAGACCCTCCCTCAATGTCACTGAAATCAGCAACTTTTGACAAAAAAAATTGATATTTTTTTCATAAAAATAAGTCTCGAGGGAGGGTCTAGAGTGGTCAGAAAATGCCCGGTATGCTTTAAAACCTTCTTTCTATATATTCGCACCAAATTTAACAAGATGCGTATTTTTGT